GGGAGGAGAGAGAAGGGGAAGAGGGTGTCGGGGGAGAGAGAAGGGGGTTGGTGGGGGAGAGAGAAGGAGTGAGTGGGGGAAGATGGATGCGGAGAGGAGTGGGGATGTGAGGGAAAAGGTGTGCGGAAACACTTGGGGGAGAGAGGATTGGAAGGAAAGAGAGTTGGTGGGGAAAGGGGGTGAAGAGGAAGAGGAGGCTGCGGGCAAGAAGGTAGAAAAGTGGGGTACAGGAGGAAGGGAGCTGGTGGAAGTGGGTGGAGAAGAGGAGGGGTTAAGGGATTTAGGGTTAAGGGGAGAAGGGAAAAGAGAGGGCAGGGATGAGTGTAAGAAGGGGGTTTGGGACAGTAGGAAAAAAGGGGAGGAGCGCAGGAGGGTGGAGTCGGGGTAAGGAAGGAGTGAGAGGGAGGAGGGTGAGGAAGCAGTGGGGGATATGTTAGATGATTGGTGGGGGTTTGTGTTGAGAGGTGCCTGATTTAGTAACTGGGTGAGGGAATTATTGGGGGTGAACATGGGTTGGTAATTGGAGAGTGAGAAAGGGGGAGAGATGGTGATGAAGGTGTGGAAAGAAGGAAGTGAGAGGAAACTGTTACTGGTGGGTGGAGGGAGACAGTGAGTGGCCAGGTGAGGTATACTTCACACATCAGGAAATGATCCTGTTATGTGTGTTCTGGCCTTGTTATACTTGACTTGTGTGTTCGACCTAATACTTTGAGTATAACCATCCAGTAAATATTTTATTTATACTGAATGTGGGTAGAAGGTGAAAAATGTGCATTTCCGTAGTTATTTAGTACACCTATGGCTCTTTCTAATACCATGCGCTTCATAATTAATTGTAACAGAAGCACAATTACAATTACGAGGTAAGAACTGGCAAACATTTTGTACCCAAAGTCTCACCAATGTACATTGGATGAACCAGGAAATCTGTTCCCTAATGAAGACCAGACGTGCAGCATTCAAGTCAGGGGACCCAGACCAGTACAGAAAATCCAGATATGACCTCCGCAAAGCCATCAGGGATGCCATGTTAGAGGCCCAAACCTACCAAATGGACTCTCGCTGTCTATGGCAAGTCCTAAACAAGATTACGGGATACAAAATGAAACAGTATAAGATAGCAGACAGTGACACATCCCTTCTTGACGTGCTCAATGCTTTCCATGCTCGTTTTGAGCAGAATACCACTGGCGTGGCAACGCTTCAGAAGCCAGATCAGTCTTCCTTGGAGTCAACCCGAGGAAAGTGATGGGCCCGGACGGTGTCGCAGGCTGAGCGCTCAGATCCTGTGTGGACCAACTGACAGAAGTATTCACTGACATCTTCAACCTCTCCCTGCTACAAGCCGAAGACCCCACCTGCTTCAAGAAGACCACCATCACCCCGTACCCAAGAAAACACGTGCAGTGTTCTTTAATGACTGCTGACCAATAGCTCTGACTTTAATAATCGTGAAGTGCTTTGAGAAGCTGGTCATAGCCCACATCAAATCCAGTCTCCCAACTTGCCTCAACCCCCTACAGTTTGCCTACCGACATAACAGGGTCACAGAGGATGCCATATCCCTAGCCCTGCACTCATCTCTGGAACATCTGGATAACAAAGACACCTAGTCAGACTCCTGCTCATTGACTACAGCTCTGCCTTTAATACCATTATACCCTACAGACTGATCTCAAAACTCCGAGGCCTTGATCCCGGCTCCATCCTCTGCTACTGGATCCTCAGCTTTCTGACCCACGGGCCGCAATCGGTCAGGATAGGTAATTGCATCTCGTCCACAATAATACTCAACACGGGAAGCCCACCCACCCACCCAGATGCGTCCCCAGCCCCCTACTGTACTCGCTGTACACCTATGACTGTTGCCAAATTTCCGAACGAACGCCATCTACAAGTTCGCTGACGACACCACCGTAGTGGGATGGATATCTAACAACAATGAACCAAAATACAGAAGGGAGATAGAGGGCTTGGTGACTTGGTGCAATGAAAACGATTTCTCTCAACTTCGGCAAAACTAAAGAACTCAGCATCGGCTTGAGAAAGAAAGGTGGATAACGCACCCCCATCTACATGAACAGAATTGAGGTTGAGAGAGTGAAGAGCATCAAGTTCCTCAGAGTGACGATAACTGACGACCTGTCCGGACTTCCTGCGTAAATGCGACAGTCAAGAAGGTACAACAACGCCTCCTCTTCCTCAGGCAACTCAGGAAATTTGGCATGTCCATAAGGTCCCTCAACAACTTCTACAGATGCACCACTGAAAGCATACTGTCCGGGTGCTAACAGCCTGGCATGGCAACTGCTCTGCCCAGGATTGTAAGAAACTACAGAAGGTGCACAGCCCAGACCACCACGGAAGCCAACCTTCCATCCATGGACTCTGTTTACACGGCCCACTGCCACGGAAAGGCTGCCAACATCATCAAAGACCCATCGCACCCCGGTAATGATCTCCTACAACCCCGTCCGTCAGGCAGAAGATACAGAAGCCTGAACACACACACAAGCAGGTTCAGGAACAGCTTCTTTCTGGCCATTATCAGACTGTTGAATGGACTGTAGCCTCAAACATGTAACTTGAGCTGAACAGTCCAGACAGTCCCAGGCAATTAATCATTGCTGGTTTATGGATAAATGACTGGTTCTGCTGTCACCAGGTTTGTTTCCTTTTGTGGGAGGAAGAACACTAGGATGACAATCCAGTACAGGATTGAGGCAGCACCATACTGCACTGTCAAAGATATTGTTGTCTTTCAAATGAACTATTAAACTAATGTCCCATCTGTTCAGTTGGTGATGTTTATCTTCACAATATTTGAAGAAGAACGGGGCAGTTCTCCTTGGTCGTCCAGGTAGCAGTTATCCTTCAACCAATATCACAATAAACAAAAGCAGAAATTGCTGGAAAAGCTCAGCGGGTCTGGCAGCATCTGTGGAGAGAAAATCAGAGTTAATGTTTCGGTTCGAGTGACCCTTCTTCAGAACTGGTTTCTGATTTACACCGTCCGCAGTTCTTTCAGTTTTTACCACTCTAAACAGATTATATAGCCAAGACAACAAGGTGCAGAGCTGGATGAATACAGCAGGCCAAGCAGCATCATAGGAGCAAAAAGGCTGACGTTTCGGGTGTAGACCCTTCATCAGAAATGGGGGAGGGGTAGGGGGTTCTGAAATAAATAGGGAGAGAGGGGGAGGCGGATAGAAGATGGATAGAGGAGAAGATAGGTGGAGAGGAAACAGACAGGTTGAAGAGGCGGGGATGGAGCCAGTAAAGGTGAGTTGTAGGTGGGGAGTTAGGGAGGGGATAGGTCAGTCCAGGGAGGACGGACAGGTCAAGGGGGTGGGATGAGGTTAGTAGGTAGGAGATGGGGGTGCGGCTTGAGGTGGGAGGAAGAACAGCAGGGACGAGCTGGACTGGTTTTGGGATGCGGTGGGGGGAGGGGAGATTTTGAAACTTGTGAAATCCACATTGATACCATTGGGCTGCAGGGTTCCCAAGCGGAATATGAGTTGCTGTTCCTGCAACCTTCGGGTGGCATCGTTGTGGCACTGCAGGAGGCCCAGGATGGACATGTCATCTGAGGAATGGGAGGGGGAGTTGAAATGGTTCGCGACTGGGAGGTGCAGTTGTTTATTGCGAATCGAGCGTAGGTGTTCTGCACCTTGTTGTCTCGGATTCTCCAGCATCTGCAGTTCCTACTATCTCAGATTAATAGCCACATTGCTTTTTGTAGCCCTTTGTGTACAAATCGGCTGCCACATTTCCTATTGCAACAGCAACTATGGTTAAAAAAATACTAATTAACTTTGCTGGTGGTAAAGTGCTCTGGGGTATCCTGAAATCTCAAAAGGTATTATATTAGAGCAAATTCTTTATGCATTAATTGTCTAGTTAAGACGAGGAGCCTGCTATTACATGAGGACTCTGAGATCTGGACTTTTTTTTTCTTGCTTACCTTTTGGCTCTGTTAAAATCTTTAATTCTGGTTTTTGTAACCAACTGGGCACCAGTGAATGGCGATTTTGTGCACGTTTTGCTGTACTCATGTATTCCTGTACTTAGTATGTGACAAATAAATAAATCTAAATCTACTGATGAGTCTTACTCAGTGCTATATGGAATTATGCTCAGACCCTCTTTGTGACCGAGGGACCTGCTAGATATCAAGCTGCCTCTAATTTAGGGGATGTGTCATTTCTTTGGCCCTCCCATCTGTTTGTTTGCAGCCCATGTATGTTCAATGATGTATCTTAAGTATATGACCTAAAAGACTTAATCTTTCATTATCGACAAAGGTATTGTCGGCTCATTGAGAAAATGTCGGGCGTGAAAAGAAAAGTCGAGGATAAGGACCCAGACTATGAGGATATCTCAGTCTGTCGTCAGGAAAAGCGCCACAAAGCAGTTGAACATTCAGGTGAGGAAATGAAAGCACTGTCCGTTTTATTACCTCAGAAAAGAAATTCTCATAATTCTCATAATTTGCTGTTTTGTGCTTACACTTCGGTGCAAGTTTCAGTTAGCCAATCCTCAATCCATACGAATATACTACCTCCAGCACCATGGGCTATTATGTTATTAAGGCAACTAATATGTAGTGCCTTATCATATGCCTTCTGGAAATCCAAATGTATTAGATTCACTGCTTCCTCTTTATTTATTCTGCTTGTTATCTTCTCAAAGAATTCTAATAAATTTGTCAGGCATGATTTCCCCTTCATGAAACCATGCTGACTTTGAGTATGTATATTTTGAAATGTTGTGCTCTTATAACATTTATGATAGACTCAAACATTTTCCATTACAGATGTGAGCTAACTGGCCAATAGTTGCCTGGGTTTTAAGTGGGGAGGGGTATTTTCAGGATGGCAACCTGTAACGAATGGAGTGGCCACAGGAATTGTTGCTAGGGTAAATTTACAGAAACAGGCCAGAAATATACATTAATGGCTTCGAGGAAAGTGAATGTATTAACAGCAAGATTGCGAACGATACAGAAATAGGTGGAAAGGTAAGGATGACACAAAGAGCCTGCAGAGGGGTATAGACAGGTTAAGTGAGTGGGCAAAATCTTGGTATAATGTGGGAAAATGTGAGGTAATTCACTTGGACAGGAAGAATAGAGGAGGTGAATATTATTTAATCCTTATCCATGAATTACAAAAAAAGCTAGCATCCAAGTTCACCAGGTAATAGGGAGGCAGATGAATGTTTGACTTCATTTCAAAGGGACTGGAGTACAAAAATAGGGAACAAAAACAGAAATTGTGGGAGAAACTCAGCAGGTCTGGCAGCATCTGTGGAGAGAGAACAGAGTGAACGCTTTGAGTCCAATGACTCTTTTGTTTTCTCTCCACAGATGCTGCCAGACCTGCTGAGTTTCTCCAGCAATTTCTGTTTTTGTTTCAGTTTGCTAGCATCCACAGTTCTTTGTTTCATACAAGTAGGGAAGTTTTGCTAAAACTATCCAATGTACTTGTCAGATGACACAGGGAATACTGTGAATAGTTTTGCTCACCTTATCTAAGGAAGAAAGCTTGGTATTTGATCCAGAGAAGATTCACTATGTTGATCCCTTATGGAGGGATTGTCTTACGTGGAGAGGTTGAGTAGGTTGAATCTGTACTCATTGGAGTTTAGAAGAATGAGAGGCAATCTTATTGTAACAGTGGATTGGTTGTCTCCCCTTGTGGAGAGCCCAGGATGAGAGGGCGCAATGTTGAGGTAAAGAGATGCCCATTTCAGCTCAGTTGGTTGGATGGCTGGTTTGCAAAGTGACACCAACGTAGTGGGTTCAGTTCCCACACTGGCTGAAGTTACCATGGAAGACTCTCCATAGACCCTCAGGTTAAACCACCACCTGTCATCTCCCTGTAATGAGAGCAGACCTATGGTCTGGTAGGACTACTGGCACTTTACCTTTTAGTATTAGCAAATATACATTACGCTTCAACAGACTTATCAGGTCCATCTAATTTCACCTTACCCCATAAACATCAGCTTCTATTTATTTCATTCCTCATGTATTTATCCAGCTTTGCTTTATGTGTATCTGTGTTATTCACCTCATCCATTCCATGTAGTTGCAGGATTCACATTCTTAACTTTTACTGTTTTGGTGAAGACTTTTATCCTGAATTTTAATTTGATTCATTAGTAACTCTGCAGTATCTATGTCTCTTACTTTAAATGGAAACATCATTTTAATGTATAGCCTATAAAACCCCAGACACCCCTGAGTTTTTCTTGTGTAAAGAGCAATAACTTGTTTACAATAACATAATAGGTACAGCCTCTCTGTTCTGGTATAGTTCTAGAATGTTTTTGGAAACTTTTTTTTAATATCTTTTGTATAGTATGGAATCCAAATGCTCACAGTATTCCAAATGATCTAATCATAGCTCAAAACAATTTTCAAATGATTTTATTGCTTTTTCACTTTTTGACCTCTAAAAATGATTCTAGAGTGCTTTCTTTTCATTCTTTTTATGGTTTTTAAAGCTGAATTGTTACTTTTTAATGATTTGTTCCCAACTGCTTCTCAATTCCATTTACAAACATTTTCCAAAGAGTATGTGGCTTTCTTATTTCTTTCACTAAAAATGTACTACCTCCTAGTTCCTTATTAAAATGTTAATCAACCTGCTTACTTCTATAATTCACAGCAATTACTATGTGGAAGAAAACAATACTTGTTGATGGAGTATGTGGCAGATTTTGTTTACACAGTACAGGTGATTGGCCTAAACTCTGGAAGAGAGAGATTTCTAGTTTTTATTCGTCCAAATAACTGGAAACTAAACTTCTTTACACCACCTTAGTTTAGACAGAAAATCCAGGACAAAAGCTGGCCATTTAGCTCGTTATTCTTAGGTAGCGTTTATACTGCTTACAGATCTCCCTCATCTCAGCCTTCTAGGCTATTTTTGTATTCATGTTTCTCCCATGCACTTGTCCAGTTACCCTTTGAAAGAAATGAAGCTATTTGCCACAACTATGTCCCATGGTGACCATGCGAGCCACCTTGTCAAGCACCTTCTGAAGATCTATTTTGACAAATTCTCTCAGAGACCCCTTATATATCAAGTCTGCTACTTATTAAAAAATTGCTTCAAATATGCCAAAATTGTTTCATGTGTCTGAAGATTGGTCCTTAGGAACAGCTTTGAACTCCATGAAATGTTATTTACATTTTGGTTATTGGGTGTAGCAGATCCTCTCCTCATTTCAGCATGCCTTGCAGCTCTGTATTTTCTTCTTCAGTTGCTCATAAGAGCCTTCCATTTTCAAGTGCAATAAATAATGTGACTAGAGTAAAGAACATAGAACATAGAATAGTACACCACAGTACAAGCCCTTCAGCCCATGATGTTGTGCTGAACTTTTACCCTAAACCTAAGGTCTATCTAACCTCCACCCTTACCTTACACTATCATCCATACACCTATCTAATAGCCGCTTAAATGCCCCTAATGAGGCCCACTCCACTATCCTCTCCGGCAATGCATTCCACGCCCCTGCCACTCTCTGAGTAAAGAACCTACCTCTGAAGTCTCCCCTATATCTACCTCCACTCACTTTAAGACTATGCCACCTCGTAATAGCTACCTCCAGAGTACAAGATGGCTTTCTGTTGTTGTCTTCATCTGTGCTTAATGGCAACATAAGAACTCTTTCAAAACATCCCTTAAAGCTCTAATTATTATGCTAACACCACTGAAAATTAGCTGGTTCCATCATTGGCCCATGATCTGTAATCTTGAACATGGACTGACTCACAAACTGACAGGGGAACCACTCCTGTCATCTCAAATGATCCTGCTGCTGTGATGTTGGTGGGAACAATATTTTAAAACTCTCTTGCATTCTTTCAGGTGGTTCATTTGTTCCTTTATTCATTAACCAGAGCAAGTTAAATCACTTTCAGTGACTGAAGTTCTCAGGAGCATTTGCCACAAATTGTGATCCTTTGATCTCCCTCCCTCTGCCCAAGTAAATATACTCCGCTTTGCAGTGGCACTATTTCTTTCTTTAGTCCAGAACCATACACTTTGGTGCATACATTGTTGAATGCACTGAAAATCTGAAAAAGATAGACAGCTTGCCTATTCTTTATATAAACTGCATATAAACTGACGTTTTCCCAGCCACTATCAGTTCTAAGGAAGGGTCACCGGACCCGAAACATTAACTCTGTTTTTTCCTTCACAGATGCTGCCAGACCTGCTGAGCTTTTCCAGCAACTTTGTTTTTGTTGCCTGTTTTTTAGCCTGTTCTGCTGTGTGCATGTGGTTTATTCTGGTGTCCCAGGCCGTGCCATCGCTGCTGAAACATTCTCTTGGTCCTTAACTGGGACATTCATTGTCCTTCAGTACCCATAATCAAGATCTTTGAAGGGGGCGGTGGGGGTGGGACGGAAATGAACCAAACAAGTTGCTATCTAATGAACACCCCATTCCCACTTCTGCATTTCCCCTTGGTTTTCATCTGCAAGCGCCACCTGATACTGCCAGAGAGGGAGAGGATGGAGGACAGAGAGAGCAAGGTGTGTGAGTGTGTTTGTGTTTGGGGTGGGGAGGGAGTGGAGGAATGGTGTTAGTGCAGGAGGCAGAAGATTATTCTCTTCAGCAGCACTTTGCAGTAAAAACAACAATCACATCTTTAGCATGTTGCAATGAAAACAACAATCAGAGACATCTGATTGCTCATTGTTCTACATTTAACCTATTCCTGATTGGTAATTATTGATGGAATTAAACTGACTCATTCACATGTGCTGAAAAGGTTCTTTGAATAACAGATGAATAGATGAGTGCCAATTTCAGCCAGTCACTGTGTGGAGCTGGAGGAACATAGCAGGCCAGGCAGCATCAAAGGAGCAGGAAAGTCGACGTTTCGGTTCGGGATCCTTCTTCAGACTTCTTTCCTTCTTTGAGGAAATGTCAGCTTTCCTGCTCCTCTGATACTGCCTGGCCTGCTGTGTTCCTCCAGCTCCACACTATGTTGTCTCTGACTCCAGTATCTCCAGTTCTTGCTATCCCCATCTTTCAGCCAGTCACCATTCTGTTTCGCTCTCGGATGTGAGGTGCTTTGTGTGTGTCACCTCAGATACCAGATTTTCACGTGTGACTCTTGTGACATAACTTGAGTGGAGATATTCAGTTTTTAATTATACAGAGGCAGTTATATCTACAGGAACTTCTTGGACTCTGTTAAGGTCATTGTCAGTGTTGTGTGTGGGTGAGGAATTGAGGTTATGTGTCTGCAAGTTATAAGTAAGGAAGTTGGCACTTGTGGAATTTTCTCCAAATTGATAGAAGATGCTCAGAAGATAAACATTTTAAAACACTGGGTCAAAAGTGTTGTTGCATCTGAACTTATCTGGCAGTTTTCAAGAAATGGTTTGCAGTGAAATCTGCCTATAATTAGCTTTAGAAATGGCATAAGAATTCAGGATAAACAGGCCTTTCAGCACCTTGAGTCTGCTCTGCAATTTTATGGGATCATGGTTGATCTGTTTATGTACTCAAATCCACTTTGCTACTTATCCCCTGTATGATTTGACTCCTTTGTTTATCAAAGATCTGTCTACCTCTGCCTTAAAAATATTCAATAACCCTGTCTCCACTGCTCTTTGTGAGAAAGAGTTCCACAGACTCTCAACCTCGGAGAGAAAAGAAATTCTCCTCTTTTTTTCTAAACTCCAATGTCTACAGAACTAAATTGTGCAACCTTTCTTCTTAAAAAAGCCCCCTCATACCAGGAATTAGACAAGTGATCTAAGGTCAACTTTTTCGCACAGAGAGTGGTGCATGTATGGAATGAGCTGCCACAGGAAGTGGTGGTGGCTGGTACAATTACCAGGGATTTAAAAGGGATCTGGATGGGTTCATGAATAGGAAGGGTTCAGAGGGATATGGGTCAAATGCTGACAAATGGGACTGGATTAATTCAGGTCGGTATGGATGAGTTTGGGTCTGCACAACTCTATGACTCTAAGTGAATCTTCTCTGAACTACTTCTAATGCAGTCATGTTTGCTCTTCTAGAGGGAGACCAAAACTGTATACAACATACTAGATGTGGTCTCACCACACTCTATGCAACTTGCAATAAACAACATTGAATTTGACTGTGTAATCACTTCCTCCATATGCAGGCTTAATTTTTGTAATTCATGTACCAGGACACCCAGATTCCTTTGTATCTCAGAGATTTATAGTATCCATAAACTTGGTTCACTATCTTTGGGTCAAAATCCAGGGACAGTCTCACTATTGTCATTGTGGTTTGCCTACACTGAATGAACTATAGTGAATCAAGAAGGCATCTCACCACCACCTTCTCAAGGAGCAACAAGGGATGGGAGATAAATGCAAGCCCAGCCGGTGACACCCATATCGCATAAATAAACAAAACAAAAACTCCAATTTTGAAAGATAAACAAGCAAAATATCAATTACCAATCACATTTTTCTTAGAAGGTGGTTGATCCAAAGATACAACCACCCCTTCTCACGCCAAATATGCACATACTATCAAGTCCTGCTAACCTGAAACAACAATGTGCACCAAGGATGCAAATATTCAGTGTTTCAGTGTTCATTGCTCATGCTCATTTTCTTTAACACTTTCACTCACGCCCCGGTTTATGTGCAGCATTCCCTCATTGTGTGATAGCTGTAACTCAGTTGCTCATGTTCTCACCTCTGAGTCAATGTTGTGGGCTCAAGTCCCACGTCACGGCTTGATCACAAAAATAAGGTTCACGTTCCAGTCCAGTACTTAGGGAGTTCTGCACTTTTTGAAGACATTAAACAGGGGGCCTTCTCAAGTGAACTTAAAAAAATACTATTATCTCAAATAGAAGTAGTCAAGTTATCTCTGGCACATTGGCCAATATTTATTCCTTATTCAACATTCCAAAAATAGATTATCCCATCATTATCATGACCTGTTTGGAAGGATGTTGTGAAACTTGAAAGGGTTTAGAAAAGATTTACAATCATGCTTAAATAATAGATCTACAATTCCCACTCTACATCAATGATTATAGTTCAGAAGTTTTTTGTTGTCTGTAAAGATCTTTGAGAAAAAAATGATTGCAAAGGTGCTATTTAAATGTAAGTCATTCTGTTTAGGCCATATAGATTTGTGGATTTCTGGTAATCAGGAATTTGCTGTGTAGAGAACAAACCAGGATGTGCTTCAGGCGTGTTTCCACTGAGAACTCATGCATATGGGTGTGCGTCACTCTTAAAGGGACCATACAGTGTAACAACAAGATTGTGTACAGTATAAAAGGGAACAGTGATTATGATTGCAGTTTAGAAGTTGGAAAGGCCAAAATATTCATTGTACACTTCATTGGGTGTCAAGTAGTGGGCGCTAATTGGGAACGTACCTGTGCTTTTATGTATACACGCAATGGGTCTGTGTGCATATTATATCTGTAGCAGCATGATGCAGGAGCTGTTGGTTGCAACCGCATGATATGAAGATGTGTCTACAAGTTAAAATTTGCAAGTAAATAAAGCCTAGCTTCCAATGTTCTATCCGCTGGTTATATGAGTTCTGCTTATTTCCATTTAATTGCTTCCTAATTTTCCTTCTCTCTTAAAGAACTTGCATTTCTGTAGCTTTTTTTAATGACCTCAGGGCGTCTTAAAGTACAGAAAATGCAGATGCCAGTTTGCATACAAAAATCTGCCATGAACAGGAATGCAATAATGACCAAGTAAACCGTAACTTCCCCCCCTCAGTGGTCGAGAACGCCCTCAACCGTGTCTCCCACATCTCCCGCAACTCATCCCTCACACTCCGTCCACGCAATAAGAACCAAAAAAGAATCCCCCTCGTCCTCACGTACCACCCCACCAACCT